ATCATGGCTCTGTTGCTTTTACGCTGATCGATCATTCATCTGTTCGCACTTTTTTGTTGTTGTCAACTTGCCTTGGCAAACTTATGCTGAATGCACACCCCTGGCTACTCATGGTTTTTTTAATTCGCCGAGCTCTCTTCCATGCTCTGCCTCATCTCATTTTATCTAAGACACGCCACCAATACTAACCCCACCGTGTCCCGCCAGGATGGAGGCAGAGAAGGTGGAGCCGTCCATCCACGACCTCTCACTGCTGGTGGAGCTACTGGTCCGTAACGACCGGATGCAGGAGGCCGTGCGCCTCACCACCGAAATGCTGGGACGCAACACCTTTCCCCAGCCGCGCGTCTTCAAGTTCCTAATGTCACGCCTGTCCGCTGACGGCGATGTGGATGGCATCACTGCAGTCGGCGCCCACCTGAAAGACGTGAGTGCGCGCGAGAGGCAAAGGGGAGAGGAATGATTGTTCTAAGATCGTTCAGTTCTATTGATGCTGGTCGTCATTGAGTTAATTGATGCGTGCGGGTGATCATGTTTATCATGGTCAGCGTTTTGCAGATTACAATGGTGAAAGGTGTAAATCATTAACATCTGCGGCTGTTGTAAAACTGTACCTGAGATCCTGAGGCAACCGAACCCCCAACCAGTGACCGCTCTCCCCCTCTACCAGGAGCTCAAATCGGCCACATCGTACGACAACCGCCTGTGTACCGCCTACCTGAACGCCGGTCGCGGAGAGGAGTTCCTGGAACATCTGGAGGAGGTGTGCCGCAAGCCACAGCCGACAGAAGACAGTGGTACCTACGTGTTCCCCGCCGGTGGATTCCTGGGGATGTTGCGAGGCCTGCCACAACTCTATCCTCGCTGTGAGTGGCGTGGGAGAGGGGTGGAGTCATGGGTTGGAGAGGGTAGAGCGACTTGCGAAGAGTGGCCGTGGTGGTGGAGTGTTAGAATGATTGTGTTGTTCGCGAAGGTTCTCTGTGTCCTGCTGCTAGTGGTAGTTTGCTCTTTATGTTGTATTGGAACTTGGAATATGAGGCGCGCCTTGTTGACATTTAATGAACACCTTAATTTGTTGGCGTTCAACTCTGCGGAGGATACGATGTTATGTATGCACATTTGATTCCTTGTCTTGGTATCTAGAAATCGATCCCGTTATAGTATTTTGAAAGCGATGCCATTGCCTTTCCGTCGATTGTGATGGCAGTATCCTAACCAGCTATGTGCTTGTTTTCCTTTCAGGTGTGAAGCTTGCAGAAAACTTTGCCGAGCGAGGTGTGCTGGGAGCGGCTAACATGCTTTGGGTCGATCACTTTGTCAACGAACGCTACAACGAGGCACAACAGATCTTCGACAAGTTCCTGCGCAACCAAGACATCGTCCTGTTCAGGTATGTGGTAGATGTGGAGTGCGCACTCCGCACCGAGGTAAAGTAGTGAATGGTCAATATCGCCCAGCTGATATTCTGTATCTTGGCGATGTTTGTGCCGTTTAAAGGTAGTGTGCCACCTTTGAAAGATTTCCCATTTTATTTTTCCTAGGATAAGAAGCTTCTGTTTTTACCTAATATCGCAAAAAAAATCAAAAATGGGCCTGGAATAGTGCCTTTTTCGCCTAAAAGTTTATCGGTTTTTCGATATGTATAACAACTGTAGTGGGCTGAACTGCAAACAGGCGTCGGCAACAATCGCGAATGCGGCGCACATGTGACAATAAGCAAAGGTCATTATAGAGTTACGACGGACGGGAATGAGTTATCAGCTGTCTAACCGTAGACAACACCAAGGACAACACAATGTCGAGCCTTAAACTGTAAGCCTGTATTGGTATTGTTTCTTTTATTTGGCTGTCGAACATTATTTATGGTTTGAAATATGATTTTATGTAAAATAATTGATATGAAAAAGCCGTCTCTTAAGTTATGACCCCATTTCACCACACGCAAGTGGCAGAAATGACAATGATCAGCTGACGCATTTTTCTTGGCCGAAGTCAGAACGCGTGGCCCGACGCACCACCACCGCACCACAAAGTATGAGCAGAAGCTGCGCCCAAAGCCAGGGCCCCGGTAACGTGAGGTAGCCGAGTCGGGGCAGCGTGCGCTGACCCAAGTCGGGGCCGCAGCTTTGGGCGCGGTCTACCGCATCCCCGCGGGCAGCCCCGGGCTATCACACGACACCGGGAGGACGCGCGGCCCCGGCTTGGGTCAGCGCACGCTGCCCCGACTCGGCTACCTCACGTTACCGGGGCCCTGGCTTTGGGCGCGGTCTACCGCACCACCTAACAGGCGTGTTCGAAACCGCAGGAGATGATGATGAACGGGTTTATCGAAACTTGATTGGATGAGCATATCGGTAATGGCGATTTCAGTGTGTGCATTTATTGTTCATAGTGGTGTGAAATGTGGTTGGGGTACGACCGACAACCCGTCGGGGCGAATTTCGCACTGGGGTACTCAAAATTTGAAGAATTTAAGACGTTTCCATGAGTTTTGAAGGTATGGATAAGCTCTAAAAATCCGGTTCTCCTTATCTGGGCCATTAACTCCATACGGTCCAGGAAAGCTGGCACACTACCTTTAAGAAGGAACACAGCTGAGCCAAACAATTTTTTACGGTACCGGCTTGGGTTAAGCATGACGGCTCTGATGTCTCTACATCCTTGACAAGTGGTCATCCATAATGAAACAAACTTGGGGCGGTCCTGATATTTTAATTTTTACTTTCCTTTCATTCTTCTTACAGAGGTGTTATAGAGAAGGCGACCGAATCTGGAAACTTGGAAATGACTCGACGACTCTATGAGATGCTCCAGCCCACAAAGATATCACACGGAGCCAAGGCTGTCGTCGTCTCAGCAGTTGTCAACCTGACCCGTGAGTGTACTGGGTTGAAAGGGTGGGGATGGTGACGGGATGTGAGTGATTTTACTACGGTTTGCGGCCATGTGTGGTGCATACTGGAGGCCCCTAGCTGCTTGTGTGGCCTGAGAATATCCTGACCGTAGACTGTCGTCCGTAAAGCAAACGGTTGTTGAACTTTTGGGCTAGTATCGCTGCAAATGAAATGTTTAATTGCGTTTTAATACCTAAAAGTCAATGTGGTTACGACAGCGCTTAGCATAGGCATATTGCCAGTGTCCAATTCCAATTAGCTGTTCTCATCCCAGCTTTTCAATACTGAAGCGTCTTTCCCAGAGTGTTATGCTTTTTTAGCCGACGCTGCTTTAGCCCGCCGTTGTTTGTTATCCAGCGACAGCTCATCTGACCACCCGCTCGGTTTTATCCTCCCAGTGGACCGAGAAGGCCCCCAGGCGGCCGTCGAGCTCCTCCGCAGCAGTGGATTCTCGCCTGACGACCTGAAGAGCGCCGTGGCCGATCGGCTGCGGACTGAGGCTGCAAACCACGGACTGAACCTGCCGCCCGCTGTACCTCGCACCACACCCGCTGACGGCCCAGCCACGGCCGACGCGGGGAGCAGTCAGACAGCGGCGGCAGCGAGCACATCACAACCAGACTCGGTACGAATGGTGGGGGTTGGTGGGTGTTGCTAACTTCTGCAGTCTGGCAAATAATCATCGCTAGCCGGGTCTAGAACAAATGAATCGGTACTGTAAAGAGAGTCGATTTGTGAGGCAGTTTAATTGCCCGGTAAACCACCAAGAGCTCAATTCCGGGGACACTTTTAGCTAATTATTCTCAGAGAATGTGTCGCAGTGAAACATGTTTCCCCGGGGACGAATGTACACCGATTCTGATGTTTCACTGCAACACCTGTGGCTGTCCTACTTGAATGTCAATGTCTTACGGAATGGCAGACTCGGCGGAGTTACGCCGCTATCAGGCTGACACGGCGTATATAACTAAATGCTGACAAAAGGAAGGCGATTTACAAAAAAAAAAACGGACTGCTTGATTCAGTTCTTGTAAATGTATGCCCGAATGATAAGAAGGAACGAAGTAATGTGTAGGATAGTGAACTCGAAATTTTGTTCTTAAGTATGGGTGAATTATTTGTAGCTGGTTTAACTGCTTCACCCACCTGACACCAAGGGTCCTACTCTGTTTCAGAGTGCGGCGCCGAAGCCTCCCGCGGCCGCGGCGGCGACCCCTCCAACACCTGCGGCCCCTCCCGCGGATCCCTCGGCCCGCTGAGTGTGCCTGCGGCGCGACCGTAAGAGTGCTAGTGAAAGACAACGGTGTGACGTGAACGCGAGAGAGCGGATGGTAGCGGTACATAGTTCGTGCCCCCTCGGGCCGAGGAAGCGCATACAGTCCAACGGGTGAATCCCGAGGTTTCTGGTGAACAGTAACGCTTCTGCTCGTAGGTGAAATATTTTTTGAAGCTGTGCGACAATTTTGTTGCGATTTATGTAGTCGGAAGCCCGCTGTGCGCTGTAGGCTTGAATGCGGCTCTTTTTCTAGTCGTGGCAGGTCCCTTGGCAGTGAACTGAGGATGTGCCGTCGACTGGGTATTAGACGGTGTGTGAACTGTTCGAGTGAGAGTGGGCATTACCATCGTATAGAAACGGCAGGGCGGAGGAACACACGCGGCATACTCGATCCGGCGCCAGCGGCAGGGATGGAGGGCGCCGAACGTCTCATTCTCATCAGAACAGCACAGATGTTTGGTCATTACGTGATTACGAGACACGTAGTAAATATACTGAATGAGCGACAAGAATCGTTTTCCTTGCTGGTCTCCGGACTCCGACTGATATCCCGTTGCGAACGTGGTGCGTGGTCCGAATTGAAATATTGCCGAACATATAGTTAGCTATTTTACTGTTCGCCTTTGTTTTCCATAATGCATTCGCTCATCCGCTGTTTGACCGAAGACTGAAATTAATCACAATTCAGGTTTCTTCCGAGCTCAGTTGGATGGGCATGCATGCGATAAATGACCGATGCCAAGCGTGCAATCTTAATTTAGTGGCCTTGTCTTAAGAGAGCTTGCGGCAATCGAGGCAAACGTGGCGGAAAAGACAACTACACAAAACATTGCACACTGACGGGGACGGGTGTCGGAAGTGGAGTTGTGTGTGGTGTTTCCTACTTCCCATTTTCTTGAGTTATCATATCTTTGATGAAATGCGTCTGTTGAATGAGGATCTAGTCTTCCTGACATATATTGATCCATGGTTTCGGACAGTTTCAGGAGCGAAGTATGAGCGGCAAGAACGCCGCACGGTCAATGGGGTGGGCGAGGCGGTCATTGCACCGCTTCTTCCCACTGTCACAAATTAGTAATTATAATGATAAAACCTTTAAAATTACGTTACAAAACAATTGCTTGCTCTTAAATGTGTCTAGTTGTTAAGTTCTTGACAGAATTGCGTAATTAAGATGATGCAGTCGCTGGCAGTCCGAGAAAAGTTATCGAGATGCTGTGATAAGTGATTCCAGGACAAGTTTTGGTATGGGTATATCATAACCTAGACTAAGCTGACCTACCCTAACCTCACCTACCATAATACATCATAGCTTTAGTTTGGCCTTATGCAGAAGGTAAATGAACAAGAATAAGGGACAAAGATTTGTGCTAACAAAACCTGCCTGGTTATGGATACTGTGGGTGTGAGGTGGGCAGCATACTCTAAAAATATGACTTATTTAAATACACATGATTTAGCTTCCACTTGACTTTTTGTGCAGTCTAGAACAGGCCATTTGCAGGTCTTATGTTTTTGTTCTAGCCAGATAAACTGGAACATTAGGTATGTCAACTTTGGGTACTGCAGGGGAATCACCCCAAATTGACTTAATAGTACCAAACACCAACTTATCTGCCAGTGTGCACACTTACACAGTCAGTCTTGTAGTTCTTAGGGACTCCAGATGGTGCTCCTATCATGGGAGCAGGTCAAGGTAAGGTGTCTTATAAACTATGTGGAAAGAAAGTGTGAAGTGATGAACTGATGATTGAATATGATATGTCAGTTTTGACATTTTGATCTGACATTTCTCAGGCACCTAAACCAAATCCATCAATAATATAATAATTGCCAAGATGATGGAGGCAACCACCGATCCAGCTGTGCAGGAGTCTGTGGGTAAACAAATGCCAAGAGATATCAGCGATGATGACATCTTTAAACCAAAGAATCAACCAACCACTGAGACAATCATTGCAGAACCCCATGCTGAAAAGGTGAGCAGTGCTGCTGATTTGGATGCTGGTTTGCTGCTTCATCCATGTTTTCAGAATAGGTACCAAAAGAGACTTGTTTTTGTTGCCATTTGTGCCTGCCATTCTTAGTTTGTTTCTAAATGGGTACTTTATAATGATGACCCAACTCTGAGCTTCATAATATAATAGTGAGCCAAATCCTGCTTGTTTTGGATGCTGACTCAGTCACTCAGATGGGCTCTGATGACCTCCTAAGTCCAGACACTAAACTCACATCTTTATGAGTCAGTTGGGATCATAATTTACCATATTCCTTATTGAACCAACAAACTACTTTATGAAAATGGGACCATATTCATACCAACTGGCCTTTGATATATTGGATTCACTTAAGTATTTTATAGCATGATAGGTACCAGAAGCTATCCTTTGCTTCATTGTTTATCATATTTTATTTTTGGCTCTCAATGCATGTATATTGTATAACCCCCCCCCCCCCCATCCTGCTTGAAGCCAGCGCTCACTACTGTTCCATCACCGACAGACGGACCTGAGCAAGGACGACCAGCCGGCCGAGGGCAGTGACGATGCGGAGCGGCCGGACCCGGAGCCGGAGGAGGAGGAGGCCTCTTCGGACGCCTCCAGTCCGGAGCCGACGGGGCCGCTGCAGCCCCTCTACTCGGTCCTCTTCACCGATGAGGTCACTAAGAGCGGTGACGTCATCTGCTATAGGATACAGGTTACCAAGGTGAGCTTTCGTGAGTCCGTGACGAAGGAAAGGATGGGCGTTGTACGTGGAGATAAGCGGTGGCTGGAGCACATTGAGTCAGTGCCAGGAACCGTGCCTGGGAGTGGGGCCGTTATGGTCACTGGAAATGTTTCGGATAATAGGTGCCAAAGTTGCTGGTAAGAGTGTGCCATTATTGCTTCTTTTTTGCTTTATTTTTCCTATATTGTGTTCTTTTATTGATAATGTGATCACGTAGTTTCGGATGCTTCCTTAGTTTCTTCTCGCTCTGGCTATCCGAAGCAGCGGACCTGATCAACAGACGGCCGCTGTTGCGTTTGTCGGTGTGTTCGAGGGAGGGGAGAGGGGGGAGTGCAGGGTATCCGACTCTGTCGCGCCGTCCCCCGCCCCCCACAGTCCACACACACCCCTCCCGGCCGGTGGCCCGGGTAGGGTTACATTACCAACTTTACTCCGCCGCAATGGATCGGACCGGCTGTTAGACGGGAATAGGTAGTGGGGCGTTTAAAGTTGCCAGGTGGGCCGTCGACCTTTCGGTAATGCGATTCGTCTCGCGTTAAATGAGGAACACTTTTTGAGTGAATCAGTATCAGATGTACTGCCCTTAGCGCAGCGCTGCAACATGAAAGGCAATCGGCGTATTTTTAGAACCGCCCTTGCGGCGATACGAGAACGGTACCATTTGCGAGTTTCCTTTCACTGCGGTCCCTGATGCACGCTTGATTAAACGCTAAGTCATGTAATACATTCGCCCGCCCACAACTGGTCTGCTATCAGCAACAATCAATCCGCTTACATTTGGCGGTGTGGTAGTGAGGCAGAGGTGCAAGTTTGTTAGCGAGGTGTACCTTGACGAAAGCTGAGGTGTAAGACTCAGAGATGAAATTTACCATACATCGACTGCTCAGAGGAGGAATTTATCGATATCCTAATTGATAGGGTTTGGGTATGACGGGAATTGATAGGATTCAGCAGAAATAAGGTGAGATTAACATTGTTCTTTACATCTTGAGCAACGGAGATGCAAGGTTTTGTGTGCGGTATTAAACAATGTCCCGCGTAATATTCATCCTGCGGCCGGTGACCATAGTCTATGCTAAGTTTCGGATTGTGTAATGCCTAGCTTTTATTTTGTACCAACTACCAACCATCTGCCTCAAAATAGCAAACACTTGCACTCAGCAGACAGACGCACGAGCTGGCAACTCACTGATCGTAAGCGCACCGCTTAGCGCTGTATTTGTTTCACCATTCCCTCTCTGCAGTTATCGTCGGCGATTTACATTCTGTGGTGACTGAACTCATTGCCTCCATTTTCTTCTCAAGCAGTAGCCCCCATTTCACAAAGGCGACTGACCCTATCCTCTCCCCCTCCCCAGACGGGACCGCCACAGCAGAGCTGGCGGATCGAGCGTCAGTTCGAGGATCTCGAGTATCTGGAGCAGTGTCTGTCGGGCGGAGGCCGCAGTCCGGGGGTGATCCTGCCCCCGCTGCCGCCGCGACCGGTCGCCGATCCGCAGCAGGCTGAGCAGCGCTCGCGGCGACAACTGGGTGCCGACACGGCTCTGGTTCTGGGAGACGACTGGCAGCGCGACTGCCGGCTCATGGAGAGGTGGGTGAATAGACGAGAAGAGCTACTGTAGGGTCAAGGAGGGTGGGTAATCGGGCGAGGGGAACGGCTGTTGGCTGCAGTTGGACAGGTAGCTGTAGCTGAGTGAAGACATTTGTGATATGTTGGCAAGGGGAGTGTGATTCAAAGCCACGGAAAGCGTCTGTAGGCTCACGCATAAGAGGGTATCCTTCGGGGTGCGACAGCCAGCTCGTGGAAAGACAAGTAACGTGTGGGATATGGAGGGGATGTGCTCAGCATTGACGACTCCCGTGAATTGAGTAGCTATGGGTCGTATGTGGGAGCTAGGCATGTACAACGGCTTGTAGCTAGTGTAGTCCTTGGAAATTGATGTTCGTGGGTGCAGTTGTCCTCGATTTCAGTGATGTGATAGCTTGACACGCATCATAGGCTGAATAGTAAATAACAACACCGAAAAGTCATGCCTGGTGGAGCGGATCTGATTGGTCGGTTCCGTGTTTGATGACGTCACCTGTGACGCCACGTGACGTTATTGGTCCGTGTCGTCCAACTAGCATTTGACCTGCCAATGTACCCTTACGCCACTTGAATGATGCAACTTGTTGGATGATATTGCATACCACGTCATGATAAACAGTGGTCTAAGCACATGATTGTGTGTATTTCATAGTAACAAGCTCAACAACAAATACAGTGAACACCGAACAATAAGTGCATTCATCTTGCCACCGACAATTATCCGCACACCCTACACAAAACAACACGACTCACGACTATACCCTGCCTGTTGGGTCACATACTTCGTCAGTCATTACTAATTTGGTTTTGTCTGATCTTCAATTCGACCGTCATGCTTGTTCAGTGCTCAAAATATGGGGCTTTGTTTTCGTCTTTTGTCTCCTCTGTACGTCATCGTGGCCCTAGTAGTTCCCTAGTAGATAAGTCATCACGGCGAACAACATCGCTACTGTTACTTCTTTTGACCCATTCTGATCTGTTCTGGGCCCTGTCTCCGATCCCACGACGTGCTTCCTACGCGGTGCACGGCTGCTGGACATAGTTGAGACAGAATCCCGTGTTGCCGCTATCTGGCGTCTCGGAACTGCCCTCCTGCGCGTCCGTGTGATAGTACAGACGGAACGGCTTCATGAAGCTGTAGACGGCGTCCGACGTGTTGGTGCCTGCCAGGGTGTGGAAGCGGTCGCCGCACAGCCGGTCCACGCACACGTTACCGTCGCTCATCTCAGTCAGAGGCTGGTTGACGTTGTCGGTGGCACACGGGATGATGAGCCAGTCTTTGTCGCAGGCCGCGCCCGCCTGCGCGGTGATGGAGTCACCCTCTGCGCCGTTCAATTTGAAGGACATCTCGCGAGTGGTGCCCGGCTCGCCGCACGGTGTGTATTGAATACCGCAAAAGTTTCGCTCCATGCGCACACATGATGTGTAGTCCTGGTTGGAGAGCTGCGCGCCGTTCTGGAAGTCGAAGTTGTAGGACTTGATGGTGCCCTGGATGCCGGTGAAGTACTGTAGACAGCTGCTCTCTGCTGTGTAGATAGTGTTGCAGGGAATCTGCGAGACACGCACCTTCCAGCTGCGACTGAAGCTGCCGCCCGTGGTGACGAACGATAGCGTGATCGGTGTGTCGGCGCTGGCGGTGCCGGCGTCCACATACATGTGGTTGCCGGTGTTGATACCGCAGATGGTTGGCACAGGCGCCGCGCCGCTGACCGTAAACTGATCATTCTGACAGAGATGGTTGTTGGGCTCGGGCTGCGCGATCACGAACGAATCAAAGTCGAGCCGCAGCTGGCAGATGTCGTTGCTGAGTTTCTGGACGGTCAGCTGGCAGCTGCCGGTGCTGTCAAACGATCCCGGGTAGTTCTCGTTAACAAAGTAGGTGTTGTTGAGCCTTGTCGTCTCGCCGCAGGTCTTGGTGAAGACGCAGCAGACGCCGTAGCCCTTAGCGCAGGTGCCGGACGCCACCCCGCCCAGATTGGTGCACTCTGAAGCTGTATAACAGGTGCCGTTGTTTCCGTTGCTGGCGGCGCAGACGAAGTTCTCGATCTTCACCAAGGTGAAGATGTTGAAGGGATTGAAGAACCGCGACTGCCGGCCGGCGTCAGTGTACCGCGCGGCTGCTGCAGGAGCCTCGGCAGTGGTTCCTACCGCCGGCGAGCTCCTGGCCTGGTAGCGGGCGGTGTAGTCGCGTCCCCGGTAGGCAGACACAGAACCGCAGGCGGTCGCCAGCAGCAGGAGCACCACCAGCACACTGAACGACGACCGAACCATCCTGGTGTCCTAACGAGCGGCGATCGAACACTGACGCTGGTCCACGGGTGCGCCCCGTTTTACGCAGTGAAAGCCCTCCCCGTCCCTGCGGATGGTGTAAGCTGGAGAGGGGACTACTGAGTACTGTCCTATTGTTGACACACAGGCGCGCCCCCTCACGCATCCGTGGCGGCTGGCGTTAATTCGAACACATGGGCTACTACCGATGATGTCAGCCCGCTCATGCAAATCGCTGACACTGGTCGCTGGTGATGGGAAGGTTACGAAGCCACGGGGAGGGTGCATTAGGTCGTGACCCCTTCAGGCGTGGGACGGTGTGTGTTTGGGTCACGGCGCATTGCGTGTCCGATGTGGTGAGCGGTGACGGATCAGAGTGTGTAATGTCACTGTAATGTGCTCGTGGATCGCGACACCGTCATTATCTGCCAGTCAGCTGTTCAATTTGTCGGCAGGCTGTCAGATGTGATTAGTTGACTCATATTTTGGTGGTGCCAATCAATATTTTTGGAGCTGAAACTGTCCACGAATGTCTGCTGACGCTTTATTCCATGATACGTATCAGGTGGCACGCTAAATATTACGATCGTTTGCTGTTGAGAACCCCTAGAAAGCTGAAATATAGTGGATCGGAAAGGGAGCATGTTACCAGGAGGAAACTTACAGTATGACTGGTGCGGAAATGCTGTGAATAAACCTCAAATACCACGTAAGACGTACTGATTACGACAACCTGCATCACAAGCATGATTTGTAATGTACGCGGTGCTTCATTACAGGATGAACGCCGTTATTTATTGGCAGCTCTCGTGGTAACCATCGCCTCATTGTATATCGCCATAATGCACCAAATACCACGCAGTGTCTGCAAGACAACTCAACGTAAAAGCCGAAAACTTATATCAATGATTTCAGCAATGTCGCGTCCGGCGTCTCACTACGCAGGCATAGTTTTCATCCATCACACACCAGCCAAATACGTTTTGGCTCATACTAACCACCGCTCCTCCCCTCCCCAGGTACCTCCGCCTGCTGCTCCGTCACGAGGTGCTGGGCCGTGACCCGGCCCTGGAGTCGTTCCTGGCCGCCGGCGAGGCGCCCGTGCGCACCCTGGTGCGTCGCTCTCTGCTGACCCGACTGCAGGACGGCCTGACCGGTTCGCGGGCCACCCATCCCGACTGTGACGAGTTCTTTCAGCGGGAGCGTGTCAAACTGAACGAGTATGAACCGGCGCTGCAGCGGGCGGCAGAGGCGTTCAGCGCAGTGGTCTTCGCGCAACAGAGTAAGTAGCGAAAGTGTAGTAATTTGTGATTTTATTTTGATGGTTGCGATTTTATTAGTCTACAGTATTGTGTTGACGTTAGTGCCAGCCTCTGGAGCTGTTTGAAGCTCTGTTCATTTTTGACAACAAACGAATGGTTGTATATTCGGCTCAGCTAAGTGCTAACTTTCAGAGATAATTTTTGATTAACTTTTTACCGCATTTTCGTAGTGCACCTACCCGTTTTAATGGTGTTGTTATCTCACAGGACTATCAAATCAAATCAACCACCTAGCGACGGCTCTGAATATCGGCGTGGGGAGTAACGAGGGCTGGAACGGGCTCTACCACAAGCTCAACGTCCGGTTCTCGGGCGCGTTGCAGGAATATAAGGTGAGAACCGGGTGGGATATTCACTTCGTGTGAAGAAAACTGCGAAGTCTGCGCCGTGTGATCGACATCGCAAGATTCTGAGCTAATGGGATGCACTACGTTTGAACTGCTGGTAGAGCATGGCTATCATTACGTTCTCTGGCAAAACCCTTCCTAGCCGCCCATACATACTTTCAGTATTTAATTGTTGACCCGTTTCCTTTTCACCAGCGCGGCGTGGACCTCAGCACGGCCAGTGCGGACGGCACCCTGGGCCAGACCCTGGAGCTGCACGCGCGGTACGTGCGCTCAGAGACCGACATGCTGTACCGGCGAACCGGGCTGATGATGGAGTACGAGGCGGCCAACCGAGGCCTGGAGAAGACCAAGGCACAGCGACGCTCGGCGGTGAGTACCCTGAGGGCAAGGGCCTGAGGGGAGGGAAGGACGGGAGGGAGCTTCTGTTGGTGTGAAGGATGCGGGAAGTCGACATGGATTTCGTTTTGTTTGGTTAAATGCCCTTGCTTTATGGTGTGGTGGTATATGTGAAGTTTCAACAATCCTGATCAGTGGAGCATGACAAAAACTCAAAAAAAAAAAATAACAGATACACTGCTACAACATTGAACATCGATAGTATGCTGTGCTAAACACTGGTTAAGAGTGATGTGAAGACGACGGGAATACGTGAGATGGTGCCGAAAATGGGCTCGAGCGATCTTTGTGAGACACTTTTCAACCAGGGACGCAAAACTGGGAACTGGAGCGGTTGGCTGTGGCTGTTAGTTTTAGTAGGAAACACGCACTCGAGAATATATTGAGCTAGTTAGTTAATTGACTGCTGACATGACGTTAGATAATAACCTGAAAGAGGTGTTATCATTAGCGCATTCCCGCACTGTGTGACGCCTCGTCCAACATACCATACCACCCGCGGCGTTTTGAAACAAGTGTTACGAGTTGCTGAGAGTTACCTAACGACATTCGTGATTGAGTGCACGGCTGACTTCCGCCATTGTTTCTCGGCTGCGTCGTGTCACACCGTTACAGTCAGTCCGCCTCGTGTCGTGACGCTTTACTGGGCTCGTCACGCCGGGAGGGGTGGTGCTCTAGCGGCGGCAGATGGAACGAGAGGTTTCAGTTTGGTTCGCTAGGTGACGAGGGCGCTGTGCATAGCCGCATAGGTTACATTCAGTTTCATGAGGTTCATTCTTGTTGACTGTGCATTGTGCAATGGGTTCTTATGGATTGTGAATTTGTATACAGAACAGTAGTGCACAGGGCCGGTGGGCGTGATACGTAGATAATCAAAAGGCCCTCGATATTATGCATTTTATCTTTTAGAAATACTGGCAAGATTAGTTTATCGTGATATGCCAAGTGCCAACGGTATCAAAAAGTCCGATATGCCAACGGTATCAAAGTCAGTTCGTCTGAAGAAAGCTGTGCTGTGGTCTGTGACTGTAACTTTCTCATTTACCCATTTGCGATAAGTTACGGACGTCATTTTTGAAGTCCATACTTCCCTTGAATTGCCATCGTAGTGAGTCTTCCTCTGGTACATTTTCTTACAATGACGTTTGCTTTCCACGCTCATGAAACTTTGATCACCGGTATTGCCGTCAATCTTATTCACTCTCACGAATTACTCATTTTCATCACCAGTCCAGTATCAGTGTGAGAATTCCTTAGCCGTGTCAACGCCCGCTTAATGGGTTGTGGCTGCCTTACAGCTCACTTCAAGTGCCTCATTGTGCATCAGTCATGACAAGTTACTGCATAACATCGGCGTTGATGCCCACTGAAGCTCGAATCATGCCAATTTTCTTCTCATCGCCGGTGCCGACACGCCTCTCGCCATTATGAGACGTCTATATTTTGCTGAAGTTGATTCATTCTCAGCGTTGTTTAGGTGAAATGCAGTGTGATGGACGGTGTAAGTCCTCAGCTTTCCAGTCATTTTGCTAACGGTGACATAGGTGTAATGTGTCCAGGGTGAAATTGGTCCGCGTATGCGTGGGAAACGGGCATTTGAAGGCTGAAATCATTTCTAACATCCCTGCAGGCTTTGTGCTAGCCATTACGTTGCTCCTTCTTTTATTAGTTATAAATATTTCATTTTATTTCCGGTATTTTCATTACTTATGAAGCCTTCCTTTTATCATTACATTGCAACATCGTTATGCCGTTTTTAAGATTATCGCAGATGATCATGAGTCATGACTCAAGACGGTAGTGAGATGCAGGCGAGTGCCCCTGGTTTCCGTTTTATCTGTTGTTTCTTTGCTACGCTTTCATTTTATTTTTATTAATTTCCCTTATTTTCTGTAGCTCTTTCATCAACTATAGATAGAAATAGCGGGCGTTGAATATAATCGCTGTGCAATCGATGCAACGTGAATGGCTGGAACCTGTCATAGTCACTGAACCGTATCAACAGAAATTAAGCGTGTACTGTTACAGACTGAATTTCCTTGTCGTTTACATGCTAGGTATTTTTATTGAATGTGGATAGAGCAATTTCGGAGAGTTAAAATGAGCTAGTTCGGAAGAGCTAGACACGAGTTCAGGTAGCAATCAGCCCTAACTAATGCCACCCAGCTGTGCGCGCAATTTGGCATGAAATCATCTGGTAGTTCATCGGACTACTTGGTCACCAAAACATAAACACACTACCCAACAGTCATGTGTCTAAACTAGGGGTGGACGGTATTGTTTGGCAACTAGGGTAGCAACCTGGGGGGGAGGGGAATCACGAATGCCACATCGCGTCACATTATGGTCACGCCGTGACGGTGTTACGTGATGCTCAGCTGAAACGACCGTAACGTTGCGTACCTGGCTGCGCTTTGTGTGTGATGTGTGGAAACGGGTCCATAGGTGAGCTGTGATTTGGTTTATGTAAACGCTGACCCATTCATCGTAATTCCAATCCATCATTCAACACAATCAAACATCATTACATGTAACCGACATGTCACTTAGTTCGTGCTGAACGTTTGGTTACGACGGACACATATAACCACATTTTTTATTTATGTGATGTTGGAAGACCCCGATAGTATCTCGCTTATTGAGGACAGTCGTCTCCAAAGTACCTACGCTCTCCTGATGCGTGGGCTGGATTCGGTGGCCGCCAGTGCCGCCCGGCCGCGCCCACCGGCACGTGGGAACCTGGACACGCCGTGACCCGGTCGGGAGGATCCTCCGGCCGCGGGATCTGTGTCGAACGTATTGGTTCCGCTGAGCGGTGTCCGACCGTGTCCAGCTGGGCCCGATCCTACGGCAGCCGATCGGTAGTCACTGGCCACCAGACATTAGCTCGTGAGTACTGCTTATTTCTGATGGCATTCACGGTGAACTCGAAGGTGGATATTGCCCGGAAGGTTAAAGACCAGAGAGCTGCACTGTAGTTCAGTGTTATGCCACTCGGGAGATTGTCCGGAAGACGAATGTGAATATACCTAGGAATTGTAGCAGTGTCGAAAAAAGCAATACTCCACGATACTATTCGCTGATATGGCTTATGCTCGATGCAAGCTGCTGATTCGGTGACTCAGTGATAATAAGTTCAATATTTAGAAAGTGCTATATGGGACGGTAACTGGTGAACGGATATCAGTTATCCAATACCCAAGCAGTCTCACCAGGCCCTTCGTTGCCCAACCGATACACCTAGATGGTTTCAGTTTCGTCGTGAGTTTCGCGGGTCATGTTATGCCACACCTGGCTGCACTTAGCGTTCCATGTGCGCCCGGACCATTTAACTGATTGGACCCCTTGATTGCTCCATTTGAAGCGATCGACCCGCTCAATTTTCTTATCATGACGTGATGACTAGCGACTAGGCCATTTTACGTCTGTTTCCTTCGATTTATGACTCCAATTATTGATGATTGACAGGAGAAACCGCATGCAGACGTAATGCTGATGCTGACCCTGCTATTGACCAGCTCTGGTGCCGTTTATGGTGCCAACTAGCGCTGGATGATTATGCTGTTTGCCGATGTGTCGCGGTCAAAAGCCATCATATTCTGTTATGACCTACCGATAGGCTTAGGAAAGTGATGATTAGTGAGTGTATGAAATGTTTACGAGGCTCCTGAAACTCTGACATGCTGTTTATGTCATAATCATCAGAGACTCCGCGAATAGACTGAAGACACGTTCTCTCGAGGGATGCAGTGCTTCCGTAGCTACCAAACTCTTATCCAGATAAGTGATAACACAATATCGTGCATTTTCGATACCATTAGGAAAATCATTGTTGGCTTGCGTATCTGATAACCACATTAGCTTTCCTGAGAACCAGCGCATCGTTGATTTCTCCATCCTTTTGTCAGTTTTTTCCCCGAGGTTACCGAACTGACCACTGCAGCTTCCGCTCGAACTAGCCACTGGGGCCCCCAGCCCTTCCCCCCGCCGAGCTGTCGCAGCTTCGTGGCGAGCTTCGTGACGGCAGCACGACAGCGTAATTGGCTCCGTGGTCAGCGGCCGTGGTCCGAACGCCGACGCCGGGATAACGGGAGACCAGGCAAAAACTCTCCCACGTGCATTATAACGCGACCGCACTACCACCGCCGCTGCTGCCGGCGTGGTCTGCTGCTGACCGCTGCCTGCTGTCGTGGACGCTTCCGCGTGGCTGGCGCACCATCCCACTTTGTGAGAGCTACGGTCCTCTTGACGAAGTGGACTTAAGCAAAAGGGGTTGATTGTTTTCTGGAGGAGTTGTCTTTGGAAAGTAACTCGAATTCCAAGCTGTGGACGATCGACAGGTCGCCTTCAGTTTGTTTTCATCACGTTGCGCCACAAGGACCCAAATAACTTGTAATGCATTGCATATACATAGCCTGCCTCGACGGCTGCATTCAAAGGACAGACGAATTTGCACCCCTTCATTGTGATGTCTGGCATATTCTTCGTAAATAGTAGCCGCTCGACTATTTCCTGTGTGCGGTAGCGCACCCTACAAATGTGTATTTCCCAGCGCCCATTTGCAAGACAAGCGCACGGAGGTGCCTATTTGTTTCGGCTGCCATTGGTGGGGAATCTAACAAATGGGTAGCTGCGGCTGGAAGTACGCTGGAGCTGACTGATCCGACCACTTGACTGCAGTTGGGTCTACTGACGCTCCCAGGGGCGCGTATCAGTGCTGCTTCAACGCCAGACGGCCACGGTCAATGCTTGTTCTCTCCAGGTTCCAGGTCTTTTGAAACTGCTCTTGCTCCGATTTTAGGCTACCTCCTGCTGAATCGAGCTCTTTTCCGACGAAGATGAAGTTGGGATCGATCGCCATCGCTCTTGCGCTACTCAGTGTTGGCTGTGTCAGCCCCCAGATTCGTTCGAGGATTATAAATCTGTCACGCTCTCCTTCACCCGCAACGCTGCCGCGACCCACGAGTCTCAGA